AACTATGAGACAGTGTATGTAAGGATGTGATGGCGGACCCACAGATTGATGTTAGGAGCGAAGACCTAGCAGAAACCACTCCCGCGATTGAAATTTTTTGTACCCTTTCAAATTTTCTCCAAGCCTAAAACACAGAGGTGCGATGGATGGAGTCGGACCTCCCAAAGGTTAAAGTGGTCCCAGCTACCACTGGCCGGCAAAAGTGAAGGTGCCGGGTATGTGCTCTTCTGAACCGCTTCGTCCTAGCGCTGATTACTCTGCCCGGAAGGCGCTAATTACTTTGCCTTCCTTATAATTTATCAGAGTTTTCAAATATTTCTGAGCATTTCAGAGCGAGCGAGGCTCACGAATAATGATAGTGACGATGTTTGAAGTGAGAAAACAGAAAGTTTGAAAAGTTGCGTGTTTTTTTACTGGGCTTTCGTGATTTCTTGCCATTCCCACTTTTCAAACCACCATGAAGTCTGCAGGTGTGAGCTAAAGAATTTAATTTACCTAAGCCCCCCAAGTATAACATTTTTTTTCGTGGGAAGCTCGAAATCTGTTCAATTCTTTTTCATCATGAGAATGCCTTCGCAGTCCACTAGATGTCCCTAACGACAGCATAGCTCTCGCCTACCCAGGCGCCGCGGCAGCGCCTACCATTCAGATGCGCGCAGTAATTAGGCTGCTAATGCTAGCGGTTCAGAAGGCCGTCTCCCGGTAGTGCCGAACACTCACCTCCCAAAAACGTCGACCGCGGGAGAGGGCGAGGGATTTGAAGGTGATGTCGAGGGGGGGGGGAAGCAAAGCTCGACGTCCCTTTTTCCAAATAAAAATTTCTTGCCTTAAAAGCTACATAAGCTTGTTCAGTGACTGATAAAAAGGAGAAATGAGAAAAAAAAATTCAAAGGTTGCTCAAAACTTTTTTCTCACTTTATTTACTTTAGAACTCGCCGTCGCCTACTGTGAGTACACGAAAGCCATCCTGGCATGAGCGCATCCAAGCCCCAGCACTTTCCACAAATTCGGAGACAGAGCTTGTTGATGAAGTTCGAGATCTAACCCAATGGTTCTCTTTAGGGTTAACAACTGTGACCCCACGACCCTTTTAGGGCCACAAATACGATAAGCACGGCGGCATAAGTATTTCAAATAAATGTACTTATTAGATGATGTGCTTGTAAGTGCAGCTCAGCTAGACCTTACGTGTTATATTGAGTGATTTTATTATAACGTACGAAGAAAGTAGGTCGATCCAGGCAGTAACCACCGAGAACCAGAATTTCCAATGATAAAATAACGAAAAATCATGTAAAATTTCTGTTATAAATTTGATGGTTGAAAATGTCAGCAACCGTGACTTCATAGCTTTTGAAGGGTAAGTGCTGCTCTGCCACACAGTGCTGCTCTACCCCACATGTCTACCACAAGTCGATAAAAGTAATGGATAAATCAAAAAACTAATTCTGTATTCGTAATCAGCATGCTCGATTACCACCCTGTGCCAACTCCCAGCCCCGTAGCTGAACTCTGCGAAAAAATCGATAAAAATCGATAAAATCGATGTTGAATGATAACGAAAAGTAGCCTATGACACCCGCCGGGCCCGAAGTGTATGTGTGCCAAGTTTGGTCCGGATCGGTTCAGAAATGGAATTTTCTACTCGGAACATACGTGCATACAGACAGACATACATACATACAGACAGACAGACAGACAAACAGACATTCAGCTTTATACATAAGAATTCGAAATTCTGGTTCTCGGTGGTTACTGTCTGAAACGACCTACTTTCTCGCAGGACGTTATAACAAAATTTACTTGAAAATACGTAAAGTCTAGCTAATTATTACTGACAAATTGCACCATGTGATTAACACGTTTATTTCAAATATTTATGCCGCTGTACTCATCGTATTTGTGGCCTTGGTCACAGTCATTGGCCCCAAAGAGGACCCTTGGGTAAGAGCCCTTTAGTAATCCGAAGTCAACATAAAGCTTTGCTCTCCAAAATCGTAGAGAGTGCTGAAGCGTAGATTCATCCTTGTCGGTGATGGCCTCCAAATGCTCGCAGTAGGCGACGGCGAGTTCCTAAAAGTGTACACAGAAATATGCTCTCAGTACTTTCTTTTGCTTTCGGCTCCGACTACCGCACCTCTGCTAAAACGCCATTATTACCTTGATAACTATGAGACTTTCGTAAAGGGTTTGTGGCAAAGGCGCGAAGATACTTTCTCAAATTACTGGTTGTATGCGGCGCATAGGGTAGATTTTATGGATCTCTAACGGCTCGGAAGGCATTAATTTTTACAGCTTCGGTCAGTTGGCTGTCCATAGGGCAGATCCAATCCACAGTGGATGGTAGGGCGAATTAATCGGAGTTTTTTTCTCAAATTATTTAGTTGTTAGGTCGGTCTATGAGAGGCCCTTGTTAGTACTTTTTCATAAAAACGATTTGTAGGCGGCTTTTAGGGTCATTTTTCCTCCAAATATCGGTTTGCAGGTGTTCGTAGGGCAGTGGGGCCCATAGGGTGGTATTTTTTTGAATACCAGTCCGTGGGCTTAGCACATTTTTTTATATCAGTTTATAGGGGTTCGTAGGGTAGTTACAACTGCTAATTCGATCTACAAGCGGCACATAGGAGAGCTGTATCCTGATAAAGAATGATATCTATGTAATTAACCAGTCTCCCAGGTCAGCTTTCCTTATAATATCGAATTGTGGAAACTTACATATCAACATTTTTGCTATAAATACTGGTCTGTAAGCGGTCTATCCTTTGCATCCAAATAAATTTGCTTTGACCTCTAGTACTTGATAAATCGTTGTGGCATCTCATCAACATTGCTATCAAACATTTACTTCTCATTCCAACATTCTTTAACAAGTCAGTAATGCTCCTTCACCGGCATCTGGAGAACACGCAAATCTAGCGGTCTTCACGCAAGTCACATTGTCCTGTTCCACACCTCCGAAAACAGTAGTATTTGTTGTCGCTAAATTGCTACCTTTTATCGTAAGCGTAAGCGTACTTGCAATACGCAAGATGCAATTCGTGCTGTCTCATGTTTTGCGAGATCTTTTATGTTACATGAGTCTGTGTGCCTGCCACTCTACAAAAGGATGACAAAATACAGAAACCTCATTTCTGTAAATACGAAATTTAGTTGTTATGTTTTTACAAGCGGTAAGGTACAACAATGCACAAGGGAAGATGGGATGTATAAAATGTTGAAAGCATAAACGCAATTCCAAACTTGCCTTTCTTATCAGCGGAACGTTTGTGGACTGGAAGTCATGGGCGTTTTCGGAGCCAAAAATTGAATGTGCATTTTGGATAAAATGAGTTTGCTAAAATCTTACTAAACTTCGGATACAATCAAGTCTGATGCATTTTTTTATTTCAGAGTATTTTCGCATAAAATGCTCTGATGATTATCACTGCTCCATTGAAGAGCTCATGTTGCACTGCTGTAACTTATAGTCAATCCTAAACTAAAAGTAAGATTTTGATTCATTCTAAAGTATCATATCGCACTGCCGTGAGCTGTCAAGGCGATGTACGATCACAGTAGCATTTCCGGCTAGGTATGATAACTACTCAAGTACACCATGAACATAAAAAAATTTGTTATTCAAAGTATGACGGCTTTTATTATATGCAAGTATTATGAATAGGAACGACGAGCATTAAAGAATTAAGCTTTTTCGTCCTTTGAAAGAAATAAGTATAAAGTAAAGCGCTGACCTCGCGGACTTACTGCAAAGAATACACATCGCCTATCCACAATTGTTAAGAACTTGCATCTATGCATTTGAGTGATTTTGCAGCAATTAGCGCTTATTGTTTCATTTGAAAATTGAGGTCATGGGGCTGATTATAAGAGCACAATCAAATAATGTGATTAGTGCATTTTAAAGTGATAGCAAAGGGTCGGAGCACACCATACTTTGTCCTGTACAGTAGAGAAACAAAAAAGACGTCGTTGAAGCAAATTTTCGATGCCATTAGCAATCGCTAAGGAGCTTGCTGTAAATGATTCTTAATGACACTGAACAGATGATTTGATAATTATGTTTTTTCATCACTAAAAAAACACCAGTTAGCTCCTCTAGATAAAAGAATTGTCATCAAATCAACGATTTACTTCAGAAATCATAATCGGCTAAAAATCTGGCTGAAAGACGTTAACGAAACATTTGCCATGACCGAATATTATATGCAGAGAAGATGAGCAGAATGAAGTTCCGAATTATGAAGCCTACAGAAAGGCTTGTGATCTAAGGGCCCTGGAAATGAGAACTATGAGTACTAAAGGGAGGTAGTACTCCCTTTTGTAGAAAAAATCCAAATTTACCGTTTTTGGTGTGAGTTCACAAGCATCATGCTGATTATTATAACGTGGTCTTGTATTTACATGTTTAGACAGAAATTCACAGCATGTTATCAAAAAAGCCACGAATTCCGGAGAGGAATGAGTTTTGGGCGTTCATTCATAAAGCCTTGAGCGAAGTAAGTATTTGCATCTACGATACTCTACTTGGAAAACGTTTCACAGCTAACCTTTCGGTAAAAAATAATCTTGTGCATCATTTTCATAAAATACCATTCTTTAAGCGTTAAAATTTATTTAATGGCGATGCAACTAGGATGATTGTTGTATAATACGATGAAGCAAAGACTTTCTCTATGTCGATTGGTAAAATCATCTGAAAGCTTCGAAATCATCGTAAATGCCATTCGACTCTTGGTCACAAGCAATGGACACACTTGTCACGAGTTGCAGACTTGGTTCAAGGATCAACATAAGTTTTTTTGTTACATTAACAGTCAAAGGATTTTCCATCTAATTTCCAAATCTGATTACATATATGCGATTAAAAGAAGTACCCGCATATGACTAATACAGGACTTTATTTGTAAGTTTAAAAGGAAAGAGTGTTCGGTCGGTCATACGCTTTCGATTTCTCGCTTCAAATGTTGTAGGACCCTTCCACAAATATTCCTATTAGGACCATGGAGGTAAGCCCTCAGCAGAAGCCATTACAGTTAACATAACATAACCCTATTCTGTAGCCGTTTATACAATGCTGAGGAAATATACTATGTGATAGGCAAAACAATGTTGACCTTTCTTTTTCTGGTATCTTAGTATAGCCTTTAGTCAAAAAGGTGCATTTTTATTATAAGTTCAAAGTTAACAGTGAATTTCTCTCTTTTTACGCTCCTACTGCTTTGCTTCTTGGCCAGCACAGAGGCAATCACGTGTGAACTTCACGATCCTCTAGTGAATGCAGCTTTCCTTCATGCAGAGTCGAGGTTAACACTTTGAGAGCTTGCAGACTGGTACAAAAGTTTTTGTATGTAATGCAAGAATTCCGACACTCAAGTGATTATTAAAACAACTTCCTCTTCCGCTTCTTCTCTCCTCTTCGCTAGATTCCGAAAGACCAAAGGAATTTCGCCTTGTAAGAAATAAAAGAAAAAGGTTTTTTGAAATATTCCGTTTCGTTCCTTCGCTTAGACGGAGTAAAGGAGCTCAGAACTCTCCCCGGAACTCCTCAGTAAGGAAGGAGAGTTCATGAGTCCTATGTATATTTCAAAATAGTTTTAAGATAAAATTTTTAAATGTTGTTGAAATAGTTGAAATTCAACAACTTACAGTTTCTATACTCCGTCTTTTATTATATATATACTACATTAGTAATATATTATATCATATATGTTGATTATATACTTATAGTATTGATCATATTGGAAGACTAAAGGATAAAATAAAATATGCTTGTGTTTTCGTAGTTAAATTTATTTATTACTAGCTGGCTTGCCCGGCTCCGCCGGGCCTGCCAGCTAGACCCGTGTACGTATGTGCGGAATAGAAATTTTTATTTCTGAACCGATTGGGACCGAACTTTGCACACATACACTTCGGGGCAGGGAGCGTGTCACAGTCCACTTTTCGTTATCGATCGATGTCGATTTTACCGATTTTTTGCAAAATTTGAGCTAGGGGGCTAGGATTTTGCACAGGAGGGTAATCGAGCATGCTGATCACCCCCTTCGGGGTGATCAGCATGCTCGATTACCCCCCTCTGCCAAATCCCAGCCCTCTAGCTCGAATTTTGCAAAAAATCGATAAAATCGATATCGATCGATAACGAAAAGTAGCCTATGACACGCTCCCTGCCCCGAAGTATATGTGTGCCAAGTTTGGTCCAAATCGGTTCAGAAATAAAAATTTCTATTCCGCACATACGTACAGACATACATACATACATACAGACAGACAGACAGACATTCAGCTTTATATATAAGATGATATTAATCATTTTGATAGACTATCTTACTAAATTGGTTGTTTGTAGTAGATGTACATTGAAACAACTATATTGATTAATGATCCGTGATATTGATTTTGTATGAAATAGCTTAACACATTGACGACAACGCAGATTTTTGATTGTCTGCCTTTTGGGACCAGACCTTTTGCGGACCAGTCAGCATTTTTCTAGGTGAAACCGCGCATACCGCCGTTTACAGTACAGTTACAGTAGCTGTTTAAGGCTGATAAAGAAGATAGAGGTCATTTCTAGTTTTACAGTAAAAGAAGAAAATTCTAGAATGAGTTTGTACCAAGATAGTCGTCATTTTAGCGAAGTTTAAGCCTTGACACACCATGTATGTCAAACGGTCCCACGTGGTAGTCACTGCTTGACACACAAGGTGTGTCAAGCGGTCGTCAGTGTGTTAATTAAAGAGTGGTATAAGATATATATTATATAATTAACTATAATTTGTGTAAATTTTGATGTAGAATGTGTAATAATTTTTTAATTTTATCGTAATCGTAAAATTCTTATATATTAGGTTGTCCCATAAGTCTTTTCATTTTCGAATTTTCGCTATAATAAGTCACACACTTCTTATTCTAAATAGACATCAGGATACCATTCGATAGAGCAAAGCAAGCTCTATAAGATGGCGTTTACGCTTTCGCACAAGCTTTGGTCTATCTCGAGTTTTAAACCAAAATCTAAAAAGTTTCGGATGGCCAAAAAACCGAAAATTTTTTATATCTTCGTTCAAAAAAATCCTACAAACCTCAAACTTGCTCACGTATAAACATTTCACATCAGACATTCATATGTGCTGTTGCTGCATTTTTTTATCAGCTAGAAATCAAGAAACCAAAAATTTTCATGTTTTTACCAAAGTGATGCTGTGCTATTCTTGCACTAGCATTTGTATAGTAGAAGCCCTCAGAAGTACTGCAGTAGATTTTTGGCTCTCTATAAATATAAAATTTAGCTTTTTTCACTTGGGTTTTTCACGCTTAAATCAACTTTTCTCGGGAACCAGAGCTTATATAGAGCTAAAAAATTACAGTTGTACTTCTAAGGGCTTGTAGTATACAACTGTCAGTGTAAGAACAGCACAGCATCACTTTGGTAAAAACAGGAAAATTTCCGTTTCTTGATTTCTAGCTGATAAAAAAATGCAGCAACAGCACATATGAATGTCTTATGTGGAATGTATATACGTGAGCGAGTTTGAGGTTCGTAGGATTTTTTTGAACGAAGATATAAAAAATTTTCGGTTTTTTGGCCATCCGAAACTTTTTAGATTTTGGTTTAAAACTCGAGATAGACCAAAGCTTGTGCGAAAGCGTAAACGTCATCTTATAGAGCTTGCTTTGCTCTATCGAATGGTATCCTGATGTCTATTTAGAGTAAGAAGTGTGCGACTTATTATAGCGAAAATTCAAAAATGAAAAGACTTATGGGACAACCTAATAGTATAAAATTATTTTTACGTAAGCATTTGAAAATATTTGAGTAAATCATGTTTTCATTGTATCCATTGGAAATAAAAATAAGTAAGTTTTACTGCAGTATTTTTGACAAAATCGTCAAGATAAGTGCAAGTACGGGCAACTCTTAAAGTTTCTGTGTAAACAATTGCGTTTTTGATGTGATTGCATACACTAGAAGTAATGTGTATAAAACTTTTTAACTGAAAAGGGAAATCAGTTTTGTTATACATTTTCGTTATGATTCTGTTATTAATGATTGTAATATGTAAGTCCACTTTATAGGTTTTGTAGGGTGAGGTTTGCGCTATCACAACTTGTTTTTGCCGTACCGATCCATTGAGGCACCGCCGAGATCTAGGCTCTTGAAGAAACAGGTAAAATACCAATTTTCAAGATTCAACAGCTCATAGCGTCTTCAAAATTGCATGAATCATGTTGCGACTTCATTGGTTAGATTCTTCTCATCAAGACTTTTAGATGACAAAATATGCGGAAGGTCAGTGATTTCTGCGGTTCTAACCCTTTTCATCCCAAAATCTCCACCTCGACCATATTAATGTATTGGCTGGAGGCCGCCAGTGGAGACGTTGTGATGAAAAGTCTCCACCCCGGGCATATGCCGTGAGAGGCACGAAACCCCCACATATTAAATATCATCTGCTCTTGAAGAGAAGAATCTAACCTTCAAAGTCGCAACACGATTCATGCATTTCTGGCAAAGTTATGAGCTGTTAAATCTTGAAAAGCGGTTTCTTGCCTGTTTTTTCAAGAGCCTAGATCTCGGCGGTGTCTCAGTGAATCGGTACGGCTAAAAAAGTTCTGATAGTGCAAGCCTCACCCTACAAAACCTATGAAGCCGCAACATTGCACATCTTCACATCCCAGATTTATAGAAGTGTGAACGTCAGTTGTAACAAAACAAAAAATTGCTAAAATCGCTTAATTTTTCAAAATTCTCCTCCACTGCAATACAGAGGGAGTCATTTAGTTGAAAGATGTCAAATACTCATAAATATTAGCAAAAAAAGTCATAATAATAAAGTCTGGAGAACTGCGTAGCAGGATTTCACGCTTGCTAATTTTACTACATGTTTTCGAGTTTGTTGATCGTCTCAATGGTACAATCACATTCTGAATTGGGAAGGCAAAAGTGGCCGGATATTACTATTAGGGTGATCACTAAAATATGGGACACCTAGAGAATAAATGTAGATTTCTCAAAAAAGAAAAATGATTAAACTTCCCAATTTTGATAGATGTTAGAATAGATTATTCTCTTTCAGAAAACACCTATATAAGGTCATTACATAATTAATTTTTATAGTGTCTGAAATGCAAAGTCAGTCACTTTGACAAGTTATAAACTTTGGGCAGTATCTGCACAGTGAAACATGTGAGACTACCCAAAGTACCACTGCTGGAGTAGGTGGTGGGACAGTCACTAAACCCACGACAGCTTGATGGCCTCAACTTTCAAAATCAGGAGATATAGCCATCAGTAGCTTCAAGAACAAAGATACGCGTTATTCAATTCTTTGCAGGTGAACGCATGTTCTCTAGGTACCATGTAAAAGAGCTTTTTACGCTCTATCCACCCCTATGCAGCTTACCTCATATTCTATCAATCTTCGGAAAATATAGATCAAAACTTCATTTATTGGTTTTGTTGCGCCAAAAAATCGCGATTTTTCAGGTGTTTCGCTTTTTTCACCCAAAACAGGAAGAAATCTTGTATGTTTATTATATTCTTTGAAAGAGCATAAACAGCTCTTTTGAATGATGTATCAATTGCTCTATAACTTTGCGGTATGGCAGTGGATGAATGAGCGAGGTTCAAAAAACCCTGTTCGCGTTCTTCAGGGCGCCACGCGTAGGGTTGTGGGAGAGGAGCGTTGACGTTTTGCCAGAATAATAGGCGAAGGTCGCTTATATAAGCGGCGTTTACGTTGCAGCCTGCTTATTGTTGATCGAGACAAGAAATTTCAAAATTTGACAAAAATCAAGCTGCCCCATTTTTTAGTGATCACCCTAATACTTATTAATCAAGCATTACAGTGAGATGCTATCCATATCTGAAGTCTGAGACTTTGATTAATCTATTATGAAAGCTTTTGGCTTGTTTCTTTTATTTTGCCAGGCAAAATATGGCTTTCAATATCATAGAACCCTTCTTGATGTTCCTACCATTATTCTGCACTAATGAAGAGCGATAGGAAATTCGCTCGTACTAAGTCTAAGTTGAAGCCAGCTCTACAGAATAGTGCCTAAAATTCGATGAAGACATGAAAGCTAGCGAGGTATCAACGATCAGACTGTTTGATCACATACGGACACGTATATCGTGGAATAGCAAGCTTTAATGAAGACAGAGTTGTGTATATTGTGCACAACTTTATGACGTTGCATTTTCGACATAATCTGCGACATTGTCTCTTACAAATGCCTAGAGGATTACATAACAGAGAAATCAAGGTTATTGTAATTTCCCTTGCACTCAAAAGATCTTTGTTTTTCTGTCAAGTTGCGTCAAAAAAGTTTTGTTTGTTCGTCGTTTTATCAACCGATCTATGCACCGCTTGCTCTCTCAGGATGTTTTTTTCAGAGAGTTTATGTCAGTTCGATCAGAATGAGAATTTTCAATCATATCTTCTTGTTACTCACCATATTAGTGGTACGTTGACCAAGCAAGACATGACTTACTTTGCGATTTTACACCTTAGGCTTACTTTGCAGTACTTTATTCCTTACAGGCTTTCTCTGCTGTGGTTGCTGAAGACGGAGAATCGAAGGAAATTGAGAAGCTATTCAAAATGCCCAAGCCCATATTATGCCGTGTACTGCCGCTTCCACCACTCCACCGACGCCTTGTTACACCGCTGCGTAAGAAAACTTAAAACTTGAATCGGGACATTGATACTTCGTGCTCGATTGCCGATAAACCTTGGCATTGTGATTCAAGTTTAATACAGTTTATAAGCTGTCGACCAAGGTTGGCAGCAAGACTTCGTTATGCGATAAGCCAACGCCGGCGGTCCGTCCGCCTTCATAAGGCTTTATGAAAGATCGAGACTTTAAGAACTGCCCGCCTAAACGTCCTGAATGGCAATAGATTTAGTTTAGTTATGTGATAGAATGGCCGAATAGATATTGAAAGCCTGACTTTAGCCTTGCCAGATCGGGATATAAAGACCGAACAACCAGTACTGCGCTGCAGTTGCGCTATGAGTGAGTATGATAGTCAGTGTCAAAATGACTATATGGTTACCATGCGTCACCTCCACTTCGCGGAGGTTCGCACTGGCTCTGCTATCCGTATGCCTTTCTCGTGCTTGCATAATATGATTTTGAAACTCATCGTGCGATGCTGAACATCACCAATGAATTGTAAACAACGTTCAATTCGAAGCATCTCCATGTAGGGTCGGTAATTTTGAGAAAGAAAACTTTTTTTTGCAAAGGAGCAATTGCGAACTCGAACGGATTACTGAATTCATCTTAGTTTGGTAATCGTCATAAGGACGATAGTCACCTTGGTCTACATTTCCTTGCAAAAATCTTTTCATTTTCCAAGGTAAAGCCTTGCAAAATCGACTATTCACGCGATCACCACTTTTTGGCGCTGTTTTGCAGGAAAGCAAACTTTCTGAGCACTTTTGGGCTAGAATTCATGGGGTGCAAATTTACTTGTCAGACAAATCATGACTTTGTAAGAAGTCGCATTGGCGACTTAGTTTCGCGAGCCAAAAGTGGACCCGTCTGACGCGCAAATTTTGAGGGAGTCGCTTATCGAAACGGCTCTTCTTGTACATAGTGAACTAGTGGACAGTGGTTGCATATCCCAACTTATGCGGTACGTCCTCAATATGCTAAAATTTGGATAGCACAGCCTCTTTTTGCAAACTCTGGCTTCAGAACATATTCCATTTCACATCCTTATAATGAGAAAAAAAGCTATGTACAATCCGAATGGTTCAAAAGTTGTCATTCAGAAATAAGTAAACGTATTTTTTGTTGAGAAAGTAGCTTCAAGTTAGGCTAAGAAAAAAGCAGTATATTGCAAAAGATTTACCATTGCAGGAGAACCAAATTTTTTTTTGATATTTGGAGGATAACCAAGTTAAGTGGGCCATTGGCAACTAGGCATTAACGAGGAACCCATAATTCAAAGTGCCCCTTCTAATAAATCATAGGGTGCATTCCAATTTTGTGGATCAAACCACTAGAAAGCTTTTCAGTCTCAGAAAAACATCGTCATGTGCTTGAACTAAAGTCTCTTTTTTGATGATACACAACCGATCATCAAAAGTCGAACACCAGCAACCAACGAGAAAGCTACATTGCATGCGACACGGTTTCTGTTGTGGCTTGAGAAACGGCTTGAGTGATTCCTTTACTATCCGAGAGGACAAACTGAGAATTACCATACATCACAGCTATATATACCAAATGTGTTCACATCAACAAGTCAATATCACTAACATATCATTCCTCAACATCACCCTCCTAGACAAAACTATTTTATGTCTTCTTCTTCTTCATTAGATGTCAAATATGATGTTTCTTGAGTGATGATGTCTCGAAGTCTGGTGACATAGTTGGGTTGCGATCTGACTGCGGTATAGTATCTGCAATACGATGTTGGTTTCTTCGACTTCTCAGCTTTGATTGATGTTTTCGTTGGCTGCGTTGGTGCTTCACGTCGTTTTTGCGCATTTGGTTGGTGTTGTGAAAAAGTTTGTGACTCGTACACTTGTTCGACTGCCACGCAGTGTCGCCGAAGTCGACTACAAGAAGTTAGTGGTGTCGCCTAGATGCTGTAGATTGTACATACTGTATATTTATTATTGTGTTTGTTTTGCCTTATATCGTAGTGGTTAGAAGAGTCCCACGAGGATCAGCCGGACAAGTCATTGCAACCTCACTTCCATCATCTTATCAGTGCTATCTTCAGTCAATGACTTCGCAAGTAAACAAGTCCAAGGGTTTAAATACCAATGGATGAGTGAGGTTGAGGATTCTCTCCACAAGTGCCTGCTGGGAGGACGACAAGTCTCGGCTCACCAAGAGGATTCTCTCTACAAGTAGTTCGCTGTGAGGACGACAAGTCTCCGATAGGCAATCTTCCTCCACAAGTCTTCTCCGGGTAACATTAGATCCAACAAGTACTCTGGACCAGGAGCATCAAGTCTCCTGTGCACCAAGAATTCTCTGAGGGATCACAAATATCCTGGGAAGCAGTCCGAAAATTGACACGTCTCTGGAGACACTTCACACATTTTAATTTTTATTGTGCTTAATTGTAGCACAATTAAGCCTCATTTCTCAAGTCTGAGGAACCATACAGACCCGCGTGGCAACACTAAGGCAGCCTCACCACTAGTTATCCCTTTGCTACATGGTGCATTGGCTAAAAAGAAGAAGACCTACTTTCAGCCAGGATAGTTTAAACCATCAAGTCCTGCGCAGCTATTTTCACAAGTTCTTTACAAGTGTTCCAGCTATTCGTTGCATACCGCAGTTGGAAATTAGCTCGGAGTTCAGAGCACATATCTCCGCTTCCAACTTTGAACACAAGTCCCCTACAAGTAGACGATACTAGGCTCTATCCAAATCGCAACTTTGTTCAAAATGTCGATAAAAACTACGGTTTCTCAACGAATGCTGACTCAAAACTCCAACAAGTTGGACAGAATCATTTCAGTCAAAGAAGAAGGAATACACAAGCTTAGTACTTCCGAAACCGAATCAAAAACCATGGTCCAAACAAGAGGCTATAGCCAACGCCTGGAGGAAGCCATTGGCACTATCGAAGCTGCCACCTCCAAGGTCGAATACGTTCTTCAAGAGTTTGGATTTTTAAGTCGGCCAGAACCGAACGAGCCGGAGGACTTCGAAGAGTACGTCGCAAAAGCGGAGTCGTCTCTTGCGATTGCATTTGACTATGTACTCACACTACAAGGCCGAAGTTGCGCTTTAAGAGCAAGCAATACTAACAAGGGAATGGTTAGAAGTCGAAGCGGCCAATCAATACAAGCTGCATACCATTAGATGCAGCATAAAACGCTGACTCTGAATCTGTCTTCCTTATCTGCAGAACGGTTTTGTGGACGAAATTATAAGCCCTTGAAAGCCATTATTTTGCTAAGAAATTGTGCGTGTAAGAAGCAAACTTGGCCGTACAAAGCCATTATCGGCTCAGTTTTGGACCAAAACATGCAACTAGGCTCACTTTATGGCCCATACCTAGAGGTGAGCTGAAAGAGCAATAATTTGCCTAATTTCGCAATTTTTGTATGCGATTTTTTCGCAGTAAAGCTGCTCATAACTTTGACTACAAAGGCGCTCTGCAGGTATGAAAAACAGATTTCAAATCAGCATTCTATGCTGCATCGAATGGTATGCAGATTGTATGAATTGGCCACTTCGACTTCTGACCACTCCCTTGTAAGATAACTTCTAATCAGCACGAAGAACAGTGCGCCGTCACGAACGTTCAGGCAAAGAAGGTGGAACTTCCTGCTATACCCATGCCCTCGTTTGGAGAAGACATATGGGAATGGGACAACTTCTGGGAACTTTTTAGTACCAGTGTCCACTCACAAGACGTACCAGAGCTGTACAAATTTCACTATCTTTTTAACGCTTTGGAAGGAGAAGCTCGCGAATCAGTCAGGAAATTCCAGATTACAAGTGGAGATTACTCGAAAGTAGTAGACTTTCTCCTTCACAATTATGGAAATCGAAAAGAAGTCATACAACGTCTCATCAAAAAAAATTTGAAGAATGTTCTCCAAAATCGACTTTCCTGAAAGATCAGAGACCTCTTCTCGAACAACAGCAAGCGATTATGGCTCAGCTGGAACATAAGGGAGAAAATGTTGATGGTCAATGGATACAAAAACAAGTGTTGTCAAAGTTCCCTGTATACATCCAGCGCAACATTTTAACGAAGAAACAAGCTGTGGAGAAACAAACACTGTTTCAAATGCAGAATCTCCTGCACTTCATTGATGAAGCCATAACATGCGAAGAGATGGTATCCTTATATACAAGTAAGGAAACTCAACAAGCACAATCTAGTTCTATGAAGACAGAAACGCAAAAAGGACTCGCTCAGGATTACATTCGAGTGTGCATGTACTGCGGCAAAAATCACAAGTTTATCATATGCACAAAGTATTCATCCCCAAGGACACGTTCACAATACCTACGGGGTCACAAATTGTGTCTAATCTGCGCATCTCCGAAGCATACGAGCACCCAGTGCCTGAAGCGTGAGTGCTTCAACTGCCAAGGACCATCATACGTCATGCTTGCGAAAGCACTCGTAGATACAACCTCGTCACAGTTAGAAGACAGATGACTCAGAAAAACACTGAAAGACAAGTGCGATTAAAAGCTTTTTCACGAATCAAACCGGCAAAAGAAGTAAACCACCTACTGCATGAAGAAGAGAACACTAGAGAAGACGCAGCAGTTTACGAACTACGGTCCATTCCCGAAGAACTCGGCTTATGTCAAACAACCTTTCTACCCACAGGAGAACTCACAGTACTAGACAAGAAGCATGATACACTGAGGAAAGTCTGCGTACTATTTGACACTGGTGCTGAGGCAACCTTCATAGACAAAGCGCTAGCGACGATCTACAACTTCTTACGATTCGGAAACAAGATCTGCGATTTACGTACCATTGGATCCAAAAAGATACAAGAAAAATCCTGTTCCCTGGTACAGCCGAAGGCGTGGGACACCAGAGGCGATGAGATCACGATCGACCTCCTTACGCACGACATAACTAAACCTTTCGAAAGTCCTGCATTGTCCAACAAAGACATCAACCACCTCCGCGAAAAGAATATCCCGCTTGGAGCGATTGGGATCAAGAGGAAAGTGAAACCGCAAATTTTGCTGGGATGAGACAAGTTATGGTCCTTCATCAATATTGACAA